CATGGTTCGTCTACCTGAGGGCATTCCGACGATCAAGTCAGTAAATAATATCTCTCAAAGATAGTAAATAGTGCTTAAACTCACAAAAAAGAACTTACGCTAGACCCACGAGGGTGCCGTACTTTTATAACCAGCAGTGACCTGATCCCTTTAGAAGCCATTACTTCAATGGACTTAGGTTCAATGCTCATCCTGATCCTCATCTAGATAGAGATAAACTCTTCTTGAGCCTTATCTTTATCCATAATGAGATCCTCCCATGTTCTAGGACTCTTGTCCCTTATCTATTTAGCTTGGATTCCGATATCTCCGCAGATAACCTCAGCCTTGCCGAGATCATCTCAGCATCATGACCAGGCTACGTGGCACCTCGGCTGACACATCGGCGTCACCTTAGCCACGTGCTGTTATTTCACAAAATACTTCCCTACAGCTATAATGGAAAATCTGTTTAAGAGTTTTTGAAAGAATTTTTTAAAGCGGTGTAATTTGAGATTTTTGAATTGTTTATTATTTAAGTATACCTTGAAGGGTAATTTGAGGAAGAAAAAAAAAAAACATAGAGTATATTGAGAGTAAATTATAACCCTAAATAATTAAAAAGAATGTACTAACAAATTATGCGTACTTAATAATTTTTTGGGTGAAAATAAAAACCTCCTAATCTGTGGTGCAATGCGTTGGTCGGGAAAAATCTTATTCAAATTGGGAGCCATGGCCTTGGGCATAAATTCCTTTGTTTATTTCTTTTTTGTGTAGTTGTTGTATTTTCAGTTATTATTGAGTTAGTGGTCAATTTGATATAATATTTTTTATATTTGTAATTAATCTCTTATATTGACTTTAAAAAAATGCTTCAAGTTATAATGTTAACACATTATGTTTATAGTTGAATAGAGAATGACAAGAATAATTTATTGACATGCGCAAAGCACTACTTAAAGCAAATTGTGATGTGGCTCTTCGTTCGAAGTCTTCTAAAGGGACTATCTCAGTTTTGCTTCATGATGATCGTGGTTGCCTTGTGGATGGTTTGGTTCGAGAGGTTGCAATTTTTTTAGTAATCTAAGGGGAAGCTTTAGTAGTTCGACTTGCATGTCTTATGGTTAGCTCCTTGAACCTATCCTCGGTGGAGATTGAAGGGGATAACAAGAGGCGTATTCATTTTTGTGTGATGCTCCTCCTTGGGAGTTTTGCACTGTTATTGTTGATCTTAGGTCTTTTGCTAGGCAATTTCAGTTGTCCTTTTCTTGGTGTTCTAGGAATGCCAATAGATAACCCAAGCTTTTTTAGGTGGCTATCTTCCTTGTAATTAGGTTTCTGCCGCCCTGTAGCTTTGTTGGCAGTTCTGTCTAAATCTTAATAGAGTGGTAGCTTCTTTCGTTCAAACCAAAATTGTACTGCTTTACTCAAATTACTTCACCCACGTTCACGGCATTTGGACAATTATATGCCCCACGCACCATACCCACTTTTTCAATTATATGCCCACACACCATACCCACTTTTTCAATATGTCCATACATTATACATAAAAGATTGGGGAAACTACACAACAGTGTAAATTTTCAACCAAAAAAAAAAATAAAAATAAATAAATTAAATTAAATTAATGAAAAATTTTATCAACATTAACAGTTAAATTTATAAATTTTTTCATTAATTAGTAAATATTTTGTCCAATTCCAACTTAAGTGTAATTTTCCCTAAAAGATTTGCAATCATAAAATTGCAATTTCTTTCTCAATTTTCCACCCAAATTGCAATTTGACATTGTACCCAGAGCATACTCTAAGGTAGTACTTCCTTCCTTAATTCCAAAATTTTGAGGAAAATCACTGCTTAAGTACTTCTGTCACTTTCAGGGCACATCAATTGAGAACGATTTCCACATTTCGACATATACATCCAAATGTGCAGAAAATAATGGAATAGACAAGTCATGAGTGATTATTTTGTAATCTTGAAACATTAGTCTATAGTATTCGTCATTTGATACTTGTCAAGTTATTTTTAAAAAATTTAATAATAAATATTAAGTCTTATTATTTTAACGAATAAGTATCAAATAAAAACATTATATGAATTTGACCCAGAAGCAAAAATAATCTTTCCTAAATCATATAAATAATTGTATAGGATCAATAATTTGCCTTTGCCATGTATAAAAGGCAACGAGTCTTAATGAAACATTTTTTGTTTGTGCAATACCATGACTTAAGACTTCAGGTGTCCTATTTGCCATTCTTTTATCCAAACACGTGCTTTTATTGAAAAGTTGACTCTTTAGACTATTTTTGTCGTTAAGTACCTGTATTCCGAAGTTGTTTACCAAAGGCTAACCTGAGTAAGGCTTGAATTGCCCATAAATTCTTTTTTTTCCAAGTTACTTAATTTGTTAAAATTAGACTTTATTAATATTTTTTGGTAATCATTAGTAATATAAAATCAAATAATTTATGCAATAAAAGAAGTTTAGGTTTAGGTTTAGGTTTAGGTTTTATATGGAATAAGAGAAGATACTATGCGGGAGGATGTATAATATAAATATAAGTTAATTGTATATGGTTCGGATCGCATTCAATCCGGAACAGTGGGATTCAATCTAGAACCGATCCGTAGAATACGAATTTTTAATTCTTTAATCCGGAACCGAACCATGAATTCAAAAAATCAATCCAAACCTACCAAATTAGACTAGTCTAAATCAAATTATAAATTTTATGAATTCTTTACTTAGTCCTACATAATATTATTGAAAAAAAAGCAACAAAAAGGCCCTGTTTGGTAGAGTTCTGAAACGTTCTAGAGCTTGATATGAATATAGTGTTCGTTTACGATTTTCAAAATTTAATTCTACACTCACTTTTGAAAACGCGGTCGAAGGCGGGAAAATTTGAACTAACCAGTCGTCCGGCCAGTTGACCAAAACAGTGCAATTTTTTTTTTTTACAATTGACACATGTTAATTTTTATATATTCAATAAAAAATATTTTCTGAATTTTTAAATTTTTTTTATGAGCTTTAATAGAATTTTGAATTGTGTGTTTGGTCATGAATTGTAAGTTTTTGTATCAACTATCATATGTCACATTAAAAATTTCTCACTCAATTCAAAATTCTTTTTAAAACTCATTCACCAAATAAATTTTTCACACTCAAATTATAATTTAAAAACTCACAAACTCAAAATATAACCCTATTCTCAAATAATATTTACAAAATTATACGAAAAGCGACCAAAGTTTTCAAAAAAATACATCCGCTTAAAGTGAATGATGATTATTATTGTCATTAGCCGTTGACGGGACCCCCATTATGTCTCTCTCTCTCTCTTTGTCTCTCTCATACGGTTCTCAATTCCCCTCCTCTCCATCTCCATTTTTTCTCAACTCAATCTCTGTCTTCTGTCCATCTTGTCTCTTTCATTCTCTAATCCTAAAACCTCTCTCTTCGTAGATCATGATCGCCTTTACTTCGAACCTGTATAACCCTAAACCACTCTCTTGGTCTGTCACTTACAAATCCACATCTAATTGCCTTTCTGATGGAGATCTTCTCTCTCATTCAACTCTCAAATGCAAATCGGCCCTCTTGTCACGATGAGGAACACGACGATCCCCATGTATTTTTTTTCCTCTTTAATTTTTGTCCGTAATTCGTTCTTTACATATTTGATTTCAGATTTCTTGTGTGTATAATTTTATTTTTTATTTTATTATTTTTTTATGAATATTTTTCTTTCCCCCGTTCAATTTGTTTGTTGCTGGTGGTTGAGGTCAATCTGTCCTTAATTTTTCTTTATATATTCAAGGATAATACTTGGTAGCTCGAAAATTCTTGCCTCGAATTGGCTCAAATACCCATATTCTATTTTTTTTTTCTTCTTTTTTTTCATTTTCCTCTCTGAGACCATCTCCAACGGTTCATCAAAGTTGACATCAAATTTTAAATTTGATGAAAAAGTTACTGTTTGGTGCTCCAACGGTTGCACCAAATCGATATCAAAATGAGATTTCACCAAACAATTCATCAAACTGAGGACAGAAAGTAGATTTCATCAAAACATTGTTTGTGACTATTGGATGCATAAACCGGTCAACCAGCCGGTTGACCAACCGGTCGCCCGGTGTACCATATCAGTGAGTGGTTGGTTTGAACCCTCAGATGGTTGGTTTGAACTGGGTTGGCTTGAACTGTGACCGTTGGGGGCAATCGGTCGATCGGCCGGTTGACCAACCGATCGACCGGTTTGGGAATTTCGGCTACAGTGCAATAATAGGTTGATCCTGGTTGGTTTAACTTGTTTGAGTTGGTTTATTTGGACTAAAAAATATTTTGTGGATTATGAATAATTTTGCAGAGTGATATAAATTTAAATTCCCTACATAGTTGACATACATATTTGAGAATTAGCCGTTATAATAATTTGTCGTTGGATGGACAGAGTATTTTGAAAATCTACTCTTATGTACTGTTGGATGGACAGAGTATTTTGAAAATCTACTCTTATTTACCGTTGGATGGACAGAGTATTTTGAAAATTTATCGTTGATGATGTGCTCTATAAAATAGATGTGATTTCTATATCTTAAATTGACAGAGTATTTCATTTTGAGAATAGCATTTATACGTTGTGAATTTTTTTTCTTTTGTGTCATTACATATTTGTTTCCCTTGAAATTTTAATTAATATTATCTGATTCTGAGTTTGAGCTTTATATCATTACAATATTTTTTAGTAAGTGTATTGTCTTTTTTCCAAACTATGGAAGATTTCAAAATGTTTAAGGAATCACAAATGTTTGAGCACAACACTCATATTAATTTAATGTCGGAATCTTCACGAGAGCAGAACACGCAGAACCGTGATAATCATTTCATTTCAGAAACTTCTCGTGTTTCTCGTGGTAAAGCGTTCACAATTATAGAAGATGAAACTTTATGTAGATCTTGGTTAGCAGTCTTTCAAGATCCCATCACTGGTAATAGTCAGACTATGGCTATATTTTGGGAACGAGTACTTGTTTATTTTAATTCACAATTCAGCAGTGAATCAAATCGAAATCGTATTTCTTTGACTCACCGTTGGTCTGCTATGCAAAAGGCAATTAATAAATTCTGTGATTTTCTTGAACAAATTCAACTGAGGCAACAAAGTGGAACAACTGAGGCAAATATGGTAAAATGTATTTATGTTATTAAATATCAATTTTCTTTTTTAAATGTATACTTGTTATTGAAATCTTTGTAATTTTTTTTTGTAGGTCATTGAAGCGAAGCGGATGTCTCATGCAATACAGAAAAAACACTTCACTTTTGATACATGTTGGGAGATTTTGCGCCAAAGTTGTAAATGGAATGAATTTCGATCAAAAAGAAGCATGCAACCTATTGATCCATGTTCACATTCACCAACTGAATATGAGGCTTCTCAATCCAACCAGAATAATGCGGTGCACGAACAACCATCTAATACATCAACACGACCAATTGGTACTAAGGCAGCGAAATAGAAGTTGAAGAATTAAACAATGCACGATAGTAGATTTGATGAAATGGCTGCCAACCAATCCAAAATTGTTGAAGTGTTATCAACTATCTCCGCTAGAACTATTGAGCGAGATGAACAAAAGACGATAGACCGTGAGCAGAAGGCTGCAGATCGTCGAAGAAGGGCCGAAGATAGAGAGGAACAACTAAAACTCCTATCTATGATGAATGAAAGAGAACAACGAAATGAAGATCATAAAATTATGTCAATGGACATGACAATTTTAAATCCTATGCAAAGGGCATGCAACGAAGATCTTCAACGACAGATTTTATTTCAAACAACTAATAGATTGCCTTGAAAGGTTTCACATTTGTGGGTTTCATCTATTGGTTTTATTATTTACAAATATTTCATCTAACTTGTATTGGTTAGTTTTATTGATTTTATGATTTTCCCCTGATACGTATTTTCGCCATATTTCAAGTTTATTATCTAATTGTTGCCATGTTTTTTGCATAGAGAGATCTTTGGCCTGTAGTTCAATGACCTTTTTGTAGCATTTTCAAGATGAATTACAGTTCATGTCCTTTGTCAACTACGCATTAAAATGGAAAACAACAATATAAAGGCTTAATAACTGCATAGGCCAATGTCATAACTTGGAAGGGTTTTCATTAATCTCGCCCTCTTTAACAAATTGCCCTAACAAAAGGTTGTGAAAATAACAACATATTCTCTAATAAATTTCATAATGTCAAACACATCAACATTCATTATCTGGTGGTAGTGGTGGTGGAAAAGGGTAGTAGTGATGGTATATGTCATTTACGCGATGCTCATTCGTATCTACGCGATACTCAATGTCCACACGAAAATCACCAAATTGTTGAATTAATGAGTTCTGTGCAGTGCCAAATGTATCAAACTGAGTACACAACGAATTGACCTGATTAGATACGGTTGTTCTTCCATGGCTAAAAACTCAGTCCAATATTGAGGTTGTTCAGCTGATGGCATCACATTGGCAGGAGGATCTTCTGGAGCATCATCTGCTGGGACTTCATCTTCTGAATCTTCTGGAGCATTAACACTTCCCATTAAATTGAGATTTTGAAATGTTTGAGGAATCACAAATGTTGGAGCACACTAATATTAATTTTATGTCGGAAACTTCACGAGAGCAGAACACGCAGAACAGTGTTAATCATTTTATCCACACGAAAATCACCAAATTGTTGAATTAATGAGTTCTGTGCAGTGGCAAATGTATCAAACTGAGTACCCAACGAATTGACCTGATTAGCCATTTGATGTTCCCATTGAACGTATTAATTATACGGTTGTTCTTCCATGGCTAAAAACTCAGTCCAATATTGAGGTTGTTCAGCTGATGGCATCACATTGGCAGGAGGATCTTCTGGAGCATCATCTGCTGGGACTTCATCTTCTGAATCTTCTGGAGCATTAACATTTCCCCTTAAATTGGAGGCTGTACCAACACGGGTGACTGTATACTGATTAATGGGTGAGGAAAGTTTCATCTCCATTTCATCTACAAGGCGAACCTTAAAATGTTTGAAAATTTTTGTTAACAGTGCCCCAAACAATAATGACCGACCCGTAAATTGACCTTGATTTGCTAGTACCATTTCTTTCATAATTATGTAACACAAATCTAACTTCTGACCAACTTCAAAACAGTATAACAAATAGGCATTAAAATATGGGACCGCACCATGATGTCCTTTTTTTGGAGTGACATTTTCTACAATCCACCGGTAGAGAATCCGAAGATAAGGTTTTAAATGTCTTGCTTGTAAACTAGTCTCAGTAAATCTATTCTGACAAATAGTAGTATACACATCAGTAGCATTACCAACGATATTAGCTAACTCAGCCTCAGTTTGAAAATGAATATTTTCATCACCTAACTCAACTCCAATAATGCTTGCCAAAGTAAGAATATCAAACTGTATACCCTTTCCTTTCACATATGACAAAAGATTAAAATTTCCATCTTGTTCCTGAGTAGCTCTTAGGTGAACATAAAATAGAGCTACTAGCCGTGGATATACCTTTTGGGGTATATTAATTAAGTTTAGCCATCCCATTGGTTCAAGTTTACTAATTAATAGTGCATCATATTGAGATGGAAGATTTACCCTCCTCTCTGTTACAATTGGTCAGCTAGAAAAGTTTGGAAAGGTTAGTGCATGACTTTCAGTGAGAAAATCATCAGTAGGATATGACTGATTTTGAGGCTGTTGTTGTTCGCGTCGTGGAGGGTTGGAACTTTCACCAACTTGTGCTCTCGCTCTTTTAGTTCTAGGCATGATGTCAGTATCTGTTGAATTTTAATGAATATGTGTTACATATGAAAGCTGAAAACATTTACTTAGAATTCACATGAACATAGTTTTCATATTACAATGCATATTAATATGGGAAAACATTACCATATTTCAATATGCATACTAATTATATGTTATTTTCATATTACATGTTTGATGTACCCTAAAAATCATTACTGAATATGCTGTATGAATGTGTTGCCTTAATATGCTATGAAAGTCAATAGGGCGTTCAAAATTCATATGATACAGTCTCTATGTTGCCTTAAAATCAAAATTCATACCCTCAAAATTCAAAATTCATTTGTTGTATTACAGGTCTGTGTTACCTTAAAATCAATAGGGAGTTCATTTTCATATTCAATGAATGGTAGTGAACATATTCTCTATTCTGTATGAATGATCCTAAAAATGATCATATGGCAGTACATCAGAAGTAAATTTTTAACAAGTTTATTTTTAAAATCTTGAACATGATAATTTCTAAAATATTGAACATAAAATTGCATTAAAACATAAATTTCATGCTCTTCACAAAGTTAAAGTTGAACAAATAAAACATAAAATTGAAAAAATACAGCATACACAGTTGAAAAATACAGCATACACCCTGAAAGGCAAAAAAAAAAAAATTAAAAAACACAGGGCCGGTTGACCAACCGGTTGACCCTTGCCATTCACCTGACAGAATACCACCTCTTGGATGCTGCCTTCTTGTACCTCTTGGATGCTGCCTTCTTGCTCTTGAATATGCAGAGTTTGGGATTCATACTTACACTACACTCAATATGCAGAGGTTGGGATTAGATTTTGGTTAAGTCGAATTTGAAGGTAGTGGTGGAGGGAATACAGTGAATGTGTTTTTAGAGGCAATCTGTGGAAAGACAAGCAATCTGTGGGCAGAGGTATTCAGTGAAAGTTGTTAATTTTTTTATGGCAGGTTTGTATACAATTTTGAGCTGATATAGAGGCTCCATGCTTCAAGTAGGTGGTGAGGAATGGTAGTTGGTTCAAATGAGGCATGGTAGATGGAATGCATGCAATGAATGGTAGGTGATATATGTCAAATGAATGGTAGCTGGGGCAAATGTATGCAGTGTGTGGATAAATAATTGAAGCTTTTATGATTTGTAGGTGGAATGTAGTGTGTGCATTCAATAATTGAAGATTTATAACTATGTTCGGACCACCCCTTCCCCCCAGCCACACACACTCAAAAAAATTAAATAAATAAATAAAACAAGAAGAAGAAGAGAGGAAAGGAAAACTTAAAGATTTTCCTCTGGTTCATGTTGTTTTAGGCTAGCTACTGCTCAGCATGGTAGTGCTCAACATGGTTAGTATTAACATGAAGGGTAACCCAAACTTAAATTATTTAAGCATAACCAGAAACCTTTTTTCCACAGTTGCATTCTGATGTAACAATGATGCCAAGTGCCAACATTGAAGAAGGATACAAGAACAGAGAAAGGGGCATCTATTTTCTAGAGCCTCTGCCTTCATGTTGCTGTCTGAAATCATGTGAACACTATTTTGGCAATTAATCAATTATTTTCGCAATTATGTGAACAATTATTTTGGCAATTATTTTGGCAATTAATCAATCATGTGAAGACTGTTTTGGCAATTAACCAGCAACCTTAGGTCTGTTTGCTTGTGCAGATGAATAATTTCATTTTGACTTGAGTAATGCAAAATAATGTTAAATTTGTAAATGACTTATTCTTAAATTTTGTGTTGTTATAAAATAGAATATATTTTGAATCTCTTGTCCCTTTGTATACAATTTTCAGCTGATATAGAGGCTCCATTCTTGAGGTAAGTGGTGAGGAAATGAATAGTAATTTCATATGCAGCACTTTAAGAGTTGACCTTGAATTAAGAATACTAATTGAAGACATTATTATTAAATTATGATTATGCACTTCAATATCAGTAATTGAAGACATTATGATTATGCACATGAACATCATGAACATCAGTTATATATAATTGAAGACATTAAGAATACTAATTGAAGACATTATTATCATTTGGAACTGATTATGTCATGTATATTATCATTTATAATTGTTATGAACTGAACACTTCACCATTCTGAATATTAAAGATAGAATCATTACAACAACACATCATCACATAACTTCTGAATTACTTAGTTAATATAGTGCCTCATATTGAAGATTACAGACAAGAGAACCTTCCATTCCAAAACTTCAATATAGTGCCTCATATTGAAGATTACAAACAAGAGAACCTTCCATTCCAAAACTATAAACAAAATTACATGTATTGATGTGGTGAATTTAGTGTTCACCATGAAGATGCCACATATGTTCTACTAAATCATTACGGAGGGCATGATATGCATCCTTATCTCTAATACCTAAATTACGAGACAAAAATGATTGGAAGTCATTGGTAGGAGTAGCGAAAAGTTGCACCGGTGTGTTGGTTGATAAAATATCATAATTGAAATTAAGGTGCTCCTCACTCTCATCTTCGACAATCATATTATGTAATATAATGCACGTCTTCATTATGTTGGCAATCATTTTCGAATCCCAATAATGTACAACACCACTTATAATTGCGAATCGAGATTGAAGGACTCCGAATGCCCGCTCTACATCTTTCCTGGCAGACTCTTGCATCATTGCAAAATGTT